GGCAGAACGACCAGCCACTATGATGCACACTGACCACCAGAGGGCAGATGCTCAATGCAGGAATTGCCCCCTGGGGGTCAGTGTGCTCCCACAGGGGGAGTGCTGCTCAGCAAGAAGTGGGTTCATGGCTGGCAAAGGCAGCAGCAGTGGTGGGAGCCTCTCCTGCCTCCACTGCAGGTGGGTGGTACGAAGTGAGAGATGCCAGACTGTGAGAGCTCGGGACTGTGAGAGGGATGTCTGACTGCCATCTTAGGCCTGATACCCCTTGCAGGCGGACATCCTCAACAGGTCCCGGACTGGAAGAGGGTGCAGGCTGGTCTGAGGGCCCTACCTCCCCACCCCACAGTGCACGAATCTGTGCACCAGGCCTCTAGTGCATATATAAAAATTTACTCTTGGGGACAACCAAGATGGTGGCATAGGTAAACACCTGAATTTGATACCACACACAACCACATTAAAAGTACAACTAAAAGACAAACCGAATATCATCCAGAACCATGGGAAGGCTGCTTGAGTAGAAATTCTACAACTAAAAGGAAAGAGAAAAGTGCTTTGAGTCCGGTAGGAGGTGCAGAGATGTGGATGTGCAGAGGTATGGAGGCACAGGAGAAAGGGGCTGGAAGCTGGGTACACTGTTGTCTTTTTCAATCGGGAGGGAGATACAAGCTCCCCACTGCTCTGAACTCCAGTTTTGGGTGAGAATTTGGGGACCCAGCCTCATATGGAGAGAGACTGGATTGTCTGGCATCGGGCTGGAATGTGAGGGCAGCTTTCTTGCAAAGGTGCTTGCAGTGGTCATTGTTCCTGCATGGGGCAGCAGGACACAGACCCCAGGACCTCTCAGAGGCAGAACAGTGTGCCAAATGGCAGCCATTGCGATTTGCTCTGCCCTGGTGATTTCCTGAGACCCCGCCCCACCCAATTTACAACCCCACCCAAGCTGTGCACAAAGGCTTTTGCATATGAATGGCCTGGTGTTTCTCCGCCTAAAAACCTGGGCAGACTCAGTGAGCGCCAAAGCCCCACTGAAACAAGTCCTGCCCCATAAAGGTGTCTCCAGCAAAGAAGTTCTCCCATTGTAGACAAAACTGGCCCTCACAGACTATTGGCCTGGAGGTCAATTACTCCCAGTGACACCAGCAGCAATCAAGGCTTAACTGCAACAAGACTGTGCACGCAGCCCACAAAGGGGTGTACCAAGAGTGTCTACCTCAGGTAATTAGGGAGGCTGAGCCACTGGGCCCGTTAGGACACCTAGTACACAAAGGTACTCTATCAACACAGGGAAGCAGCCAAAATGCGGAAACAAAGAAACAGGTCACAAATGAAAGAAATGGAGGAAAGCAAACTACTGGATATAGAGTTCAAAACCACAGTTATAAGGTTACTCAAGAATCTTCTAGAAACCTCTGAGAAATATAGTGAAACCCTCAAGGACATGAAAAAGGACCAATTAGAAATTAAGCATACACTGACTGAAATAAAGAATAATATACAGAGATCCAACAGCAGACTAGAGGATCCCAAAAATCAAGTCAAAGATTTGAAATACGAAGAAGCAAAAAACACCCAACCAGAAAAGCAAAAGGAAAAAAGAATACAAAAATATGAAGTGCATTGAATCCGGTAGGAGGTGCAGGGACAACTTCAAGCATACCAACAATCCGAATTATAGGGGGACCAGAAGAAGAGAGAGAGCAAGATATTGAAAACCCATTTGAAGAAATAATGACAGAAACTTCCCCTACCTGGTGAAAGAAATAGACTTCCAAGTCCAGGAAGCACAGAGAACCCCAAACAAAAGGAATCCAAAGAGGACCACACCAAGACATATCATAATTAAAATGCTAAGGGCAAAAGACAAAGAGAGAATATTAAAAGCAGCAAGGGAAAAGCAGTTTAGACTGTCAGCTGATTTCTCGACAGAAACA